TGGTTATGGTTAATTTTTTCCACATAGACTTCTCTATTAGAAAAGAATCTTAATAGCACTGATTGTAAAAGACTTCTTAGCACATTGAATAATTGTGAGATATAGTGGCTAAGTTCCTAAGCTGCAAGCCAAGATAGCACTACTTTCAAATCACAGTTCAAAGTTATAGATTAGGTAGCCTTAAACAAGCTTCCTTTTCTTTCACCCGACACTTATCTTTAATAAGGTTTTATCATAATACCAGCCACAATTGTATGCATGTAATAAAAATTGCTTACACAATTTACATAAAGTACTAGCATATAATTGCACTTTCCCCCATAAATGTTTAGGAGATACTATTAATGAGAAGTGCCAAAATGATGACAGAATAGAAGTTTGAAAATAAAGCTTCTTTTGTGGAGGATAAGACAAAGCCAAAGTGTGAATGAACTGGGATGGAAAATGGGGGGAGGATAATTCTGTTTGCTAGTCAGAGATGTAATTTTACAATGATGCTCTTGTATTTTAGGCTTAATTTAGTGTAAAATATCCTGAATTGAATTGATCCCCGTCTTTCCTTGATAGACCCAAATGTCAAAAATCACACACCAAAACTGATTAAACTATTTGAAAGCTTGTCTAGTTTTGTATCTACCAATGTTTTGAAGACATGCCTTCTCCTTCCTGCTCACAGGCTACAATTGGCCTCATCCGTAACCTGGCTTTATGTCCAGCCAATCATGCCCCCCTACAAGAAGCTGCTGTCATCCCTCGTCTTGTTCAGCTCCTGGTAAAGGCTCACCAAGATGCTCAACGTCATGCAGCTGCAGGCACACAGCAACCATACACAGTAAGAGGAGATAAGCAACTTATGTTTACGATCTTAATTGATTTTAGAAGTTATTTATTTAGGGTTCCTGGAGGGTTACTTACACAACTATTATTTGAACTTGATGCCTTCTGAGATGCCTCCTCTGTCTGAAGAGAAGATCTTTGGTTGAAATATTAGAAAACTTATGTTATTGAAAGTGTTTATATTTGTCTTGATGAAAGAGGAAGCTATTTTTATGTATCCTTTTCTCTTTTTTATTTATATTGTTTTATTTTCTATTTTTCCTTTGTATTTTTTCTGATGTTTTATATTTTTTTTATATCGTGTTATTTTTATTATATTTTTTTTTATTAAAATCACTATAAAAGGAACTTGATTTCTTCTCATGCACAGGATGCTAGCCTAGGAATGAACAGTGCTGTTTTTCCATTCTTTAATGGTTGTCTTATTTCTTCAGGATGGGGTAAAGATGGAAGAAATTGTGGAAGGCTGCACAGGTGCGCTACACATTTTAGCCCGAGACCCCATGAACAGAATGGAAATCTTCCGTCTGAACACCATTCCTCTCTTTGTGCAGGTCAGAATTTCTGAATGGATGGAAGTTGTAAGGGAGGAGCATTCAAGGTTAAGTGTGGGTAGAAACAGTGAGCTTGATTTCTGCAGAAGTAAAATAGTGAATAGATATAATGATTGCTAAGAAGAACATGAGAATTCAACTATTGTTTTTTTGTAAACCAAGGCTTGTAACAGGTGGGAAGCCCACGTGTTCCATGTAATTCTCAGAATATCTAATAATGTATTATTATTAATAATGTAATACCTAAGTAGGTGGATAATTTCCAAAGAGTAGATTTCATTTGTTTGCTTTTCTGAATATTTGAGGTACCAAGGCGTAATGTGCAAATTATATATAACCCAATATATCTGATTTCCCACCAAGCTTAACTTCTCACCAAATAAGAAAACAAAAATGGGTAATTTTTTTTCATGGACACAATATATATATTATATATATATTGTGTCCATGAAAAAAAATTACCCATTTTTGTTTTCTTATTTGGTGAGAAGTTAAGCTTGGTGGGAAATCAGATATATTGGGTTA